CAGGGTGAGGGAGGGGCCGGGAGACTGCGGAGGGACCAGAACTCACCTGCTTACTTGCTGCTCTCCGCCCTGCTCTCCGCCCTGCTCTCCTGCTGCGGCCTCAGCCTGTCGGGCGGCCATGAGCGCCGGGCGCCTCGGGGTCTGGCCGGCCCCGGGTCCCGCTCAGGTCCTCTTCCTTAAGCCCCGTGTCCTTTCCCAGCAGAAACCAGCGACAGGCACAGACCCCGGCCCCTCCGGGTGCCCCCCACCAAGCTGGCCAGGTGGGCGGCCCGCTGTGGCCGGCAGCTCCGCGGGGGCTGGGTCCAGCGGTGAGTCCCTCTCCTTCCCGTCCGGCCCCCCACGGGAGGGCCCACGCTGGCGGGGCTGGAGGTGCGAGCGGCCCCGGTGAGAAGCCCCGGGACTGGAGGGGTGGGGGCGGAGAGCCTCTGTGCGGGGGCAGAGGCCACGGAGGGGTCTGGGTGTAGGTCAGGGCTGGGTCTGCCTCCCCCCATGGCTCGGCTCTGACGGCAGCGGGGCGCCTGACCGCCCCTGACCGCGTCCCGTTGGCCTCCAGCTGCTACGAGCTGAGCCTGCGCGGCTGCCGCCTGCAGGACCTCTTCGTCAGCTTCTCGCGAGACCCGGCCAGCCGGGAGGGCGAGCACTTCGCCTGCCGCCTCGGAGAGATCCAGGTCAGGGTCCGGGCGCCCCGTCCCCGTCCTCATCCTCACTGGGGGCTCAGCAGGCAGAACGCCGCCGGCTGAGCGCCCCGTCCTCTCTCCCCGGGCTCGGGGAGGCGGGTGGGGTGCCGGGCGTGGGGACTTACTGCTTCCTGTGCCCTCTCGCCCCCCCCCCCCAGGTGGTGGACGCCGACAGCCTGCTGAGCCCCCTGCACCAGGTGCAGGCCACGGCCGTGTCCAGGGTCAGCTGGCAGCGGGCGGCCCCGGAAGGCGAGGGCCCCCCAGAAGGCGCGGGGCCCCCGGCCGGGCTCCGGCTCAGCTGCACCCTGCACTGGTCCTACCCCCTGCCCCACGCCCGCTGCTTCCGGATCCACTGTCGCCCGGGGCCGGGCGGTGGCCCTCCCGGCACGGGGCGCCCGGGGCCGGAGAAGCCCACCTTCCTGGGCCTGGCCTTTGCCAACCAGTACCGCGTCGTGGGCCTGGCGGTGGCCGAGGCCCGGCCCGGCCAGGACGGCCGCGTGGAGTTCCTGGTGGAGCCGGTGCCCAGGGAGGGCTTCCTGGTGCCGCAGGCGGAGTGGGGCCGGGCGGCCCTGCTGTACTCCACGCCCGGCGCCTGAGCGGACAGTGGACGCCGGCCCCGCGCGCCCGGGCTCCTCGCCCGCGGCGCGTGGACTGTGCGGACAGCGGCGAGGACCTGGGGCCGCGGCGATCCTGCTGGGGCCTCGTGACAGGAACACCGAGGAGTCGGTGTGCTGGGCGCTGATCCCCTGCGGTGCCCGGACCCCCGGCTCTGTCCAGGCCCTCTCTGCGGTGCACAGTTCCCGGGGGAAAGTGGGAGGATTGGGGAACGTTGAGTCCAGAAAATTCCATAAAGGACGCTTCCTAACCGGCTGGTGCTGAGCGTGGCCACTTGATTCCACCGGCGGAGCGATCGGAGCGAGCTTCATTGTGGCCGGGAGGCTTCGGAGCAGCCCCGGGACATTCCTGAGGGCGCAGGCCCCCAGAGGCCCGTGGGGTTCAGTGAGGGGCGGGTGCAGGGTGCTCCTGGAGATGGTGCCGGGATAGCCCTTCCCCGGAGCGGCGGGAGCCTGGAGCCAGGCCACCATGGGCTGAGCGTTCCTTGTACTGTCCCCGGGGCCCTGAGCACTGCCCTGGCCTGCTCCCGCCACGTCTCTCCAGCGGTGGGCAGGGGGACGCGGGCACGGGCAATCTGCACCCGGGCTCCGCCTCTGCCTGGTGGGTGTGGCCTAGGCTTGGGAGCAGGGGTCCAGGCAAGCCCAGGCGTGCAGCCCAGTCCCCCAACCCCCATCCCTTCAAGCCCCCCATCTCTCTGGGGCGGGCATGAGCAGGGGGTGTATGGGCAGCCTCTGCACCATGGCTCCTTCCTGTTGCTCCCTTCCTGCCCAGCACCTTCCTGATCCCTCCAAAGGCCAAGGAGGCCAGTGGCTCCCCGGGAGGCGGGGTGGGGGGGGCTTCTCCAGCCACGAGCTCCCAGCTGACGGCTGCACTGCTGTGGGGCCCCCTGGGGTGTGTGTGTGTGTGTAGGTCTCCACCCACGGCCTCGGGGAATCCTGCCCCTCATTCTTGGGGTCCCTCCGTAGGCCTCCTAGGCCCGTGGTCGGCAAACTGCGGCTCTTGAGCTTTTAGCAAAGGCCAGCTTAGGAGGACCCTAATTAAGTTAATAACAATATAGTACCTGCCTATATTGGCTCCCAAAAGACATTTCAATCGCCATCCTGTTGCCATTTGGCTCTGTTGACTAACGAGTTTGCCGACCACCATCCTGGGCCATGGGGTGACTTCCCTGCTGCCCTCGATGTCTGCTACGCGATGCGGAGTGGCTCTGAGGCAAGGACACTGGGTCCCTCCCCGCTGCCCTGTGTCCAGGCGGGGGGGCGGGGTGGAGGGCTGGGGATGGTGTCAGCCCAGTGGCTTCTCGCTGTAGTGAAGGGGGAGGCCACCAGGTGGCAGTGCAGCCACTGCCTCTGCTCAGGCCCACCCGCATCGGGAGGGAGGGGTGCAGGGTGCGGGGGGGCCCTGGCAGCATCTGGACGGGGGGCGCCTCGGGGCTTCTGGGAGACACTGGCCTCCACCCCCCGCCCACTGTCCCAGGTGCCCACCCCCTCCACCGCGGGCACGGGCGCCTCGGTTCCCGTCTTCCTAATGGGGAACATCTATGCCCACACGTGAGGCCCAGGGCTCGGGCGGGGGAGGGCCGGGCCGGAGACCCCGGCAGGCTCGGCTTTTCTTGGTCTTAACTGTCCCCCCAGCACCTGGCCCCTCGTTCTGAGCCAGGGGGCTCCTGGCCTTGCCCCGCCGGGGGACCTGGCGGGCCGGGTGGGGGGCCTGGTGGCTGGGCACCCGAGGCGGCCCCCGCAGCTGGGACCTATGTCACGAAGCCCTTTTTCTTAAAGTGCCGGCGCCCCTGAATGCTCGATGCAGAGGAAGGGGCGTTTATACGGGGCTCCGCCAAGCATTGGGGCCGGAGCTTTCAGCCCTGCGCCCCAGGAGCGCAGCCCGTCCCACCCCCCAGTCCCCCAGGGCTCACACAGCAGAGTTCACAGGTGGCACTGAAGCCCGCCCCCTACCCTTCCCCCCAGGTGTAACGGCTCCAAAATAAATTGCCGCCTGGAGGAAGGGAAGAGCTTACCTGAGAGAAGGCTCGGCTCCCTGGCCTGGAGTCAGTCTGCCCCAGCCCCCTGCCCCTGCTCCAGGCTCCTGCCCCAGCCCCGGCCCCAGCTCCTGCCCCAGCCCTTGTCCCCACGCCCAGGGCTTATAAGCTCAGGGTCCAGGGTCTGCTGCTCCCCTCCTGGTCATCCCTCCTCTCCCCTGGGCATTGATGCCAGCCCCGCGCCTTCACGCCCGGCCTCAGGACTGGGACCCGCTGGCTGGAGAGGAGGGCTTACCTCCCAGCAGCTCCTGGGGCTGCAGCTCCGAGTCACACCAGCGAGGCTGTGGGCGGGCCTTAGTGATCTCCTGCCCAGCTCCACTGACAACAGCCCCCCCCTCCGCTCCTTGCCCCTGCAGCCACCCCGGCCCCCTGTGCCCAGCTCTGAGGCCAGGCAGGGCTGTGGGAACCCGTGAGCCCGCCTCCGCCCGGCCTGGAATGGTGGGACGGGTCAGCCTGCAGGAGGACTGGGCGCTGGACTCTCGCCCACCCCCTTCTGGCCGCCGGGCGCAGTGCAGCCAGGCTGTCTCCTGCCCTCCGCTGCCCTCCCCCCAGTCAGAGCGCTGTCCTGGTTTGAAGAAAGACGTCTTTATTAATAATCTTAATACTGTGGGTTCGGATGGTCACACCTGGGAAGCATACGTGGTAAGAAAGGACGCCGGCCTGGCTGAGGCCGGGGCGGCCGGGGGCGCAGCAGCTGGGAAGAGGGCTGATTGGGGCTCGGGCTCTGTACACGGAGTAGAAAAGGGGGCGCTTCGGGAGCGGATGCAGATACAAAGTGAGGTTGGGCCGTCCCCCGTCAGCGAGAGAGCCATCGGGAGCCTGGAGGGGTGTTTTTTTTTTTTGCTATTTTTGCTGCTGCCCCAACTCTAGCTCGCTGCCTGGCCTGGGGCTTTATCCTGTGACCTGCCATTGGTGCCCCCACCCCAAGGTCTTCCTCCTGCCCCCCCCCCCCCGCCCCATCCCTGCTCTGGCCTGGCCGTCAGCCACATAGCACCGTGGCTCCCAACCCTGCAGTGAGCCCGGCGCCGCCGTCCCTCCGGACCAGGCCCAGAGCCGCCTCCGGAGAGGAAACCAGACTCAGCAGTCAGAGCCTCTGGGCCCCGCGTTCTCGGGGGCAGGAGTCGGTCCTGGCTGGCTGCCCGGGAGCCCCTCACGTGGAGGGTGGGGGGCCTGGGCGCCCCTTGGCTCTGGAACCACGTCAGCCCTTGGTGCGGGGGCTGGACCCCCAGGTCTGCGGACACGGGCTGGGGCGTGGCGCGGGGAGGGCTGGGCCCGGGGCGGGACTCGGTGACGGCGTGGCCGGAGCCGGGACGGACAGCTGCCGCTCCGGGGCCGGCGGCCACGTCCCCTCGGCCGGCACAGTCCGCAGTGGGCAGCAGAGATCACGTCCTGCGGCGCCCCCCGGGGCCAGGCCCTCTGCGTGCCCGCACTGCGGCGGAGGGAAGACGGATGGAGCCGCCGGCCCTCTGCTCCCTCCCTCGCTCGCTCCTGGAGGGCGCTGCCGGCCTCCCTCGCCTCCGACGGCTCCTTGCACGCGGGACCTGGGCATGGCGGTGTGTCTCGTTTGGTTGGATTTGTTGCTTGGATCTTAACATCTTTTTTTGTTGTGTTTTTTGTTTTGTGATTTTTTTGTTTGTTTTTGCGTTTGTCCTTCATGATCCGAGAAGGAAGTTTCACTACAACAGAAACAGAGGGACGGGCCGTTCCGGAAGCCGCTCGGGCCAGGAGGACGGCCGCGCGAGGGCGGCCGAGGCCGGAGGCGGGGGGGGGGGTGCGGGGGGGAGGTGAGAGGTGCTAGGGACCCCCCCCAGCCCCCACCGGTCCCCGGCCCAGCCTTCAGGACCCCTCCCCTCCTCTCTGGAGCTGGAGGTTAGGGGATGGCTGTCCCCAGGGCAGAGGTGGCAGGAATGGAGGCCTGGGGACCCAGTGACAGCGGCTCTGCTGAGGTGGGCAGGGGCCTGCCCGGCTCTGGCAGGAGGAAGGGGTGGGGGCGTGGCCACGTGGGCGGTGTGGCATGAGGCAGCTGAGAAGGCTGTGCTCTGGCCTGATCTGCCCCCCCCCCCCCTGCAGGGAGCCAAGCCCCCGGCCCATGCCGCCTGCTCCTGGAACGAGGTGCATGGTGAGAGCCGGGCCTGGGTGGCGGACTTTCCGGAGGCTCCCTGGCTCGGGGTTCGGGCCTGAGAAGGTGTGAGCTCACTGGGCAGAGCTAAGCCCAGTGCCTCCCTGGATGACCCGCCAACACGGAGCGCCGTGCGCAGGTGGGCATCACCCGCTCTCCTGACCTGACCCGCTCTGGCTCCGGCTCCCCCTCGGAAGCAGACCCTGAGGAACGGGCATTTCTGAGCTGGGGGCCGGGAGGCGGGCGCCCCAGGGGCTCCTGGTGGGGAATTTCTCCCTTCACTTTGGTTTCTGATGCCAGAGGCTAAGGCGCCTCCGAAGCAGGTGTGGCCCTGCCGGCAGCGGGCACTGCCCGTAGACAGGGTCAGCCCTGAGTCTCAGCTGGTGGAGAGGAGAGGGGGCATTGTCCTGCCCACACTCTGGCAGGACAAGGACTGTGGCCGGCATCTTCTGTGACTCTGCACCCCCCCCCCGGCAGGGGCGTGGCTCGCCCCTGGGGGCATGGGTCTGGTGCTAGCTGGGACGTCCTGCCGGCTCAGCCCGCCCGCTGTGGGTACTGTACCTGAACCGGCTTGGGGGTGGGGAACACAACGTCAACAAAGCCAAACCCAGGGCTCAGACACACGGGGACCGGGTCACACACACGCCACCGGGGGCCGGCCAGCGAGCGGCTGGCGGGGCGCACTGTCCTCCTGAGGCTGGGCCTGGCTCGGGGTGCTGGGTGTGGTGTGTGCTAGAGCCTGTGACTGCGCCTAGGGGTGGGCCTCTTGCTAGTAGGGGGTGAAGCGGCTGTGCCCTCCTCGGCAGAGGCCTGCCTGCAACATCAAAGATGGAAAACAGCCAATCAGTACCGCCTTCCGGAGGGGGCGGAAAAGCAAAAAGCAAAAAGAAGAAGGAAGAACAAAGAGAGAAATAGCGAACCCGTGTTCTGCCCCCCTCGCGGTCTGCCTGGGGAGGGTGGGCGTGGCTGTTCTGGCCGCAGGAGGGTGTGTGGGGGGGGCAGGGGCATCTGAGCCACGGTCCTGGGTTCGAAGGTGTGGGGTGTTGGGGGACTGTGGCTCTGGCCTGGCCCTCCTTCATCCGGGAGGTCTGAGCAGGAGCCCTCCTCCTGGGGTCCCAGGACTGCTGTGGGGTCTGAGTTCCCCCAAACATGGGGGGTGGGCGGCCCTGTCAGGGTTCCCCGGACTCAGCTTCCTGGGGTCCCTCAGGCCAACAGCTCTCTGACACTCGCTGTCTGTCCCCGGCTCAGCTCCTGGGCAGGGGCTGGGGGGCGGGGGGGCCCTATAGGGACCTCCCGCCCCGCCCACCAGATGTCAGAAAAGGCGAGAGAACTGCAAGGGCCAGGAAAGCTGGGGGGAAATAAAAAACCTTAAAAAGAGAAAAACCTAAATGGGGCCCCGCTGAGAGGTCACGAGGGCCTCAGCTGGCAGCAGCGGAGGGCTGAGCGGCCCGGAGCCACGGGGCCTGGAGCCCAGCGCAGGCTCCGCCCGCTGCACCGGGAGGGGGCTCCCAGGCCGCCTCCCAGCTGCCAGCACTCACCCTGGGGTGCCCGCGGCTGGTTAAAAATCAAACACAAAACCAAACCTGGGAGGCTCACCAAAGCCAGAGGCGGCGAAAACGCCGTGTGGCTGAGCCTCCCCCTCACCCGAGGCGTTTCATCTTTGATGCTGGACCCGCTAGCTACCGCCTAACGCCCTGCCTGCCGGTCAGCCTGGCCGGGAGGGGCTGCAGGGGCAGGGACCTGGGAGCCGGCTTCGGGGCAGAGTGAGCCGGGCTCTATGTGCTGACAGCAGGCGTACACACACACACACACACACACACACACAACACACAGACACACACAAAGGCATACACAGACACACACAAAGACATACACACACAGAAACACACACAGAAAAACACAGACACACACAAAGACACACAGAGACACACACACACACACACACAGAGACACACACACACAGAAAAACACACACACACACACACACACACACACACACACACAGATATGCTGGGTCTCGGGTGTGCCATACCCGGAGCTGGCAGAGGCCGGGACAGCACCCCATTCCCAGGGAGGGCCTCCAGGCAGGAACAGGGAGGGAGGGGGACGAGAAACAGCGGGCAGCCCCATTCCCCACCTCCATGCGAGGAGAAGCACAGCAGGAAGACGGGGGGGGGGGGGGGGGGGCGGGGATGGCACGGACACACCCACATGAAGGCCCTGCCTGCCTCAGGGGCGGCCTCGGGGAGGCTGGTGGGTTTCCTGGCGGGAGAGGGGGGCCCCGTCAGGGCCGGACATTGTCCCTGGGCAGCTGCCGGCAGGCACACCTGCCTCCTCTCCACGGGGCAGGAGGAGCAGGTCCCCACCCTCGGCTCAGACGCCGGCCTCCAGGCCAGAGCCCTGCCCGCGGGGTGGGCGGCTCCCGAGGACCAGCCTGTGTCCCCCGCCCCGCCCCGCCCCGCCCTTACCATGGTCCCGATGCTGTAGGCGGCCGTGGGGCCGATGGGGGGGTGGTAGGGGTCGGCAGCGGTGTAGACTCGGCCGTAGCTGGGGAGACAGCACAGGGAGGGGGGGGCGAGGGAGGCAGTGAGGGGGAGCAGACCCCCACCTCCTCCAGGACGTGTTCTGAGCACCTGCCGCGGGGCGGGGTCCCTCCCCGGTGCCCTCCCGTTGTCCCCTGCCCGTGTGGAAGGAGGCCGGACACGAGGGCCACCCTCTCGGCGCCCCCTGTGCTGACCTGGGGAGCTGCCCACAGGTGCCCGGGACCAGAAAGGGGCCTCACGCTCGCCTGGAGGAGAGACCCCGAAAGGAGGCCAGGATCGGGGACGGGGCTCAGAGAAGGGAGGGCTGGGGATGGGGACACGGGGGTGGAGTGTAGGGACTTGGCCACCAGGGGGCAGGCCCCCCATGACCTTCCTCCCCCTCAGCAGTGTTACCTGACCCTGACCGCACACCTGGGCTGAGGCCTGGGACGGGGTGCCGCCCCCACCAGGAGGGAGGGCCAGGCAGCCCCCAGGCCAGAGCCGCCCATGGACAAGAGGGGCTGCCCTCCTCACAGCGCGGCCATGTGCCCTTCCCTGGGGCTCTGGGGCTGACGGGCCGAGTGCCCCTGGGGAAGGGTGCCAGCTGGGCCGCGGTGGGGCCCCTGGACCTGACCACAGACCACACAGCGCCTCCCCCGGCGGAGGCCGCTGCTCTCAGGGTCATGCCCTCCCATGCCCGGTCCCACCGCAGCTGGAGGCAGCGGGCACAGCCACCTCCACGGAGGACGGCCAGCGAGGGGCCCGGAGCTCGGGGGCGGCCGTCTGCTCCCTGAGCCCGGCCGCCGCCTCCCCATGGCGAGCAGGAGGGACTGCAGGGGCTGCTCTGGGGTCGCCAGGCCCATTCCCACCCGCTCTCCTCGGCCCAGGCCGTGCCCACGCGGGGAGCCATCCCGGCCCGAGCAGCGGGGCCTCTGGCCTGCGGGCCCGTCCCAGGCGCACCTGTCGCTGTAGGCGGCGGCGGCAGCGGCGGCAGCCGGCTGGGCGTATCTGTAGGCGGCGTAGCCTCCCTGCGGGCACAGGGGGGAGAGGTCCCAGGCTCAGGGACGCGCGGCCCTCCCCCCTCACCTGGGTGGGTGGCCGGTGGGGTGGGGCACCTGGCTGGCGGCCTGAGGGAGGGGGGGTGTGTGTGTGGGGGCAGCGTGTCCGCCCACATCACGTGTTCACTCTCTCATCCCTTCCTGCGTTCCGCTCACACAGCTGGGTGCCGGGCTGGGTGCCGGGCTGCGTGCGGGGCTGCAGCACCCGTCACCAGGCCCTGAGCCCGAGGGGCATGGGGAGCCCCGGCTGACCGGGTGCATCCTGGCCGAGGGGAAGGGTGGAAGGCACCAATGGGTGCCGTGCCGGCCAGGTCAGTGTGGGGGGGGCTCTGAGCCAGAGGAGCAGTGAGTGCGGCCCCATGAGGGGGGGTCCTGCCCAGGAGTCCTGCCTCCTGTTTCCCTCAGGCCTCGCCCAGAGCGGGGGACACGCCGGGGGCTCCCTGGGCTGCTGCGTGAGCACAGGTGGCCCCGACGTGGCTGTGTGCGGTCCCAGGGGCACAGTGCCCTCGCCCTCCTGGGTTCCGAGGGGAGGGGACAGGGGGAGAGAGCCGGGCTGGGGGGAGGGGGGAGCGGGCAGGAGCGGGAAGCCGCGGACGGTTCCTGGAGAGGAGCGAGGCCGCCCCTCCCCCCCCCCCCGGCCGCACTTACGTAAATCTCAGCACCGTAAAAGCCATCCTGATAGACGACCCTGGAAGCAAACGGACAAGAGAGTGGAGGGAAGGCCGGAGAGGGGCGGGCCGGCTCCGGAGGCTGCGGAGGGAGGGGGCAGGGTGCCAGGCCTGCCCATGGGACGGGCATTTTAACAAGCGTTTGCTCCAGCGCCCTGTTTGGTACAACAATAGGGTAACAGCCTTGCCGTCAGCTCCTCTGTCCCACAAACCCAGGGCCCTCGGCCGCCTGGCTTCCGCCCTTCCCCCCCAGGCAGCGTCCCCCCACAGGGCGGGGCGGGACCCCGGGGAGACGGTGCAGCTGGGCAGAAAGGGCCCCGCTGGACTCCAGGGCCAGCCAGGACCCATGAGGACATCCGCTGGGGCCCCGCATGCAGCGGCTTTCGTTCCTGGGGCAGGGTGGGCCTGGAGGTACTGCCCTCACAGCATGGCTGCAGCGCCACGATCGGGGTCCCCAGGCCCCCGCGTATATGGAGAGGCTGCCTGCCCATCCGCTCGCCCGGGCCCCTCCCGGCCCCCAAGTACTCACGCTCCGTAGGCGGGGATGGGCGGCGGGGGCGGCGCTGCCCGGAACGCGTTGTACACGGCCCGGCCCCGGCCCCGCAGGTGCGCGCCCCGGTAGGCCACGGCTGTGCCCGTGCTGGGGTAGGGGAACCCCGTCACTGCAGGAGAGGGGCAGGGTGAGGGCAGCCCTGCCCGGCCCGGCCCACAGGCCCCGCCCCGAGGCCAGGCCAGGCCCCCCCCCCCCTCCGCTCCTCCAGCCTTTTACCTGCATAGAACTCAGGCCCATAGACAGCGCCTACCACTGGGTTGAGCTTCCAGCCTGGATCAGGAGCAAGGAATCCAGTCACCATCCCCCTCCTCCCCCACCGCACGCTGCACCTGAGACACCCCCCTCCAAGGGCGGGCCCCGCCCTCTGCCATCTGGGTGGGCACAGGAAGGGGGACCCCATCCCCACCCGCCCCTCTTCCAAAGCTGCAGCCTCCAGGGGGCCAGGTCTCTCCCGCCCATGCGGCTGTTCAGAACCCCCGAGGCCGGCAGCCGCCCTCCCATTTCACAGACGCACGTGTGGAGGCCGCGAGGCGCAGCAGCTGCTCACAGGGCCGGTGTGTGGCGGAGCCAGCCGTGTTCCTGCCACTCCCGCCCAGCGGTGCCCTCACCAGCCTCCCCTCCCTGCGAGCCGGCCACTCCGGGCCGGCTGCTCCGGCACCAGGGACCTGGGCCCAACGGAGCCTCCAGGGAGGGCAGGCTCCGCCCAGGCATCCAGACAGCGCGCCCACGGCTGGGTCCGGCCTCCTGGGGAGACCTCCAGGCTAGGACGGAGCAGAGCCCCAGAGGCAGTGATCCGAGCTGCCTCCTCAGCTCCTCCGAGGCTCTTCTCCGCCCGCTCTGAGGCCGGCTGCGATCCAGCTGCCCCGGAGTCCCCGCTGGTCACTCTGCCTCCCCGGGGCCTCCCCTGGTCACTCTGACTTCCCGGACCCTCCGCTGGTCACTGACCTCCCGGAGCCTCCCCTGGTCACTCTGACCCCTGGGGCCTCCCCTGGTCACTCTGACTTCCCGGACCCTCCGCTGGTCACTCTGACCCCCTGGGGCCTCCCCTGGTCACTCTGACCTCCTGGACCCTCCCCTGGTCACTGACCTCCCGGGGCCTCCACTGCCGATGCTGGACCCCGAGGCCTCCCCTGTTCACTCTCGCCTCCTGGGACCTCCACTGGTCACTCTGACCTTCCAAGGCCTCCCCTGGTCACTCTGACCCCCCGGGACCTCTGCCGGTCACTCTGACTTCCTGAGGCCTCCGCTGGTCACTCTGACCTCCCGGGGCCTCCGCCAGCCGGTGCTGGCCCCGTGTGCTGTCAGGGCCCCGGTCAGAGGCAGCGGGGACCCTCCTGGGTGGCCCCTTGTCTTGTGTAAATGGCAGCACCTGCCCACACGTGGCGAGCTAGCTGGCCACCGCGAACCTCCCTCAGCGTTTCTGGGCAGCCAGCACTCGGCATCTTCGGGGGAGGATCCAGGATGGAGGACCGGCCGCCTGCCCAGTGCGGGGTCTGGCGCTCAGCGGGGCCGTTAGGGCTCGCTCTGGCCGCCCCAACCTCACACGGTGTCCCCACGGCCGGGGACGGCCGGCCCTTCCCACAGCTCCCTGCACCTCCGACCGGGCGGCCTCAGCGCTGGGGAACGAACCCAGGGCGGGGCCGCTGAGCCCGTGTGCGAAGCCTGTCCTGTGGCTCTGGCGGCCGTGCCCGCACGGGAGCCGCCCTCTCGGCAGGGCGAGCCGGAACACGGAGGCGCCAGCGTCCGGCGAGGCCAGCCTCCGGGGCCCCAGCCTCCGGGGCCCCGGGCCCCTTACCGTTGGTGTAGGGGTTTGCCGACTTCTTGTTGGTCATGACGCGGGCCGTGGCGTTATTGACCTGCTCGGGGGGGGGGGGGGGGGCGTGAGCTTCTGGGGGCCACCCCAGTCCTGCTCTGTGCTCCCCGCCCCGGGAGGGGGCGGCCGGGTGGGAAGAGGTGCTGGGCCAGGGCCCCAGGCCTCCTTCCCTGGAACCCTCCCGGCCCTCCCCCTGCCCTCCCCCCTGCCCTCCCCAGGGCTGCGTGCTGGCCGCCGAGCCCCCCGCCCCCGCCCTGGCTGTCTCTCCGGGACCTGCCTCCTCCTCCCGCTGCTCCTCTGGGCTGGGTCCCATCGAGGCCCTGGCCTCTTGCTGTGACCCCGTGGGGTGAGGGCAGGCAGCGAGGGGAAGGGGGGGGGGCGGGAGGCAGCTGCTGCTCCCTGTGAGGGGGTTTGGGACCAACTGGAGGGCGGACTGGCCTGGCCGTGGTCCTTGGAGCTGCCAAGCCTCCAACACACAACTCTGGGTCCTCCCAGGGTCTGGCTGACCCCCCCCCCCAGTTGGGAGGCGGGCCTGGGGGGAGCCTGGCTTCTAGGCCCACAAGGACAGTGATGGGCTGGGCTCTGGCCTCAGTGTGGCTGGGCCCCCACTCCCTGTTCCGGCGGAGGTGGTGGGGGGACCCTGGCTGGTGCTCCAGGGCCCCACAGTGCACTGATCTGGGCACCTCAATCTTCCGTCCCTCTACGATGGTCCCGTTCAGCTTCTCCCGGGCTCGGTCAGCATCTGAGCTCGTTTCAAACGTGACAAACCCAAAGCCCTGCGGCGGAGAGCACAGACACGGGGACGCGGGGTGAGAAGGAAGGAGAGGGGCGGGGGGGGGGGGGGGGGAGGGCAGGGGGGGAGAGAGGAGAGAGAAGGGGTGAGTCAGCTGAGTTGAAAGAGAGACAGCGGCCCAGAGGTCTCCCTGGTGCCACCAGGGGGCGCCCAGGGTGCGGCCCAGGAGGGACAGCCTTTGGCTGGGCCTAAGCCCGGCCTGAGCTTACCGCCTGGACTCTCCCAGGAAACAGGCCCAGTGCTGCCAGGGCCCAGGCCTGTGGCCCAGGGTTTCGACCTGAGGGGCAGCCAACCACCTTCACCCTAAAAGCCGGGGGTGGGGGGGGGGGGCAGTGTCTTCTTTTCCCACATCAGGGAGCAGGGCTCTTCTCTGCCGGGCACCCCCTCTCTGCCCCTGCTGCCCTCCTGCCCCCTGCTGCCCCCCCACCCCAGCCTCCGCTGACCCGGGTGGGCCCCGCCCCCAGGAGGCCCAGGGCGGACAGAGAGGTCCCGGCAGCTGAGAGAGAAGGGAGCAGCAGCAGCGGCAGCAAGGACAAGACACAGACACGGGGGGGGGGGGGGGGGGGAGGGGGCGGGCATACAGGCACCCGTGTCGCTCAGGGGTCCTCGGGCGGGCGGGCGGGCGGGCGCAGCTCTCCAGGAAGGGGACGCACATGGCACACGCTAGCCTGGCGGCCCTACACGGCACTGTAATGGTGGCGGCCTCGGCGGCACCCACCTTGGAGCCCCGCTCGTTAAAAATGATCTCCACGTCTAAAATTTTCCCGAATTGCTGCGGAGACAGAGAGGGGGCGAGAGGGACAGGGGACGGTGGGTTAGGGCTGCTGGCTGGGCAGCCTGCCTCCCAGACACCCTCGCCCCTGCTCTGCGCCCTGGGCCCTCCTCCATGTCGCTGGGAGACGCCTCCGCCTCCGCACAGCAGAGGGACCCCCCGCCCCCCACGGGGTTCCCCCATCCCCAGAACAAGGCCCCGCCCACAAGCTGGGGCTGTGCCTAAGGCCCGCCCACAAGCTGGGGCTGTGCCTGGTGACAGGTGAGGGCGTCGCTGTCACCCGGGTCCCTCTCTGCTCTGCCACAGCTGCTGGTTGGCCCCCTATTCACACCCACGGGAAGGGGCTGTGGGAAGGCCCTCCCCACGGGAAGGGGCGGGAGAGGGCACCGGGCGGGGCTCTGCGTGGCTGGGCCGGGCTGGGGCGCCGCAGTGACTGCACCCCATGCCCCTCTACCAGCCAGGACACACTGGCTGGGGCACCGGACTCTGCCTCCCCTCCTGCCCTCTCGCTGCCTGGAGCTGACAGCAGCCCTGACTCGCTCGCTGGCACGTGAGACCCTCAAGCTGTGACCCGGTCCCCCCAATGCCAGGGAGGTCCCAAGGTCTCCAATGTGTAAAATGACGGGCCCCCCTTCACCCCGAAACATCCCGGAGGTGGTGTCCCGGGTCACTGAGGCCACGTGGAGCCGCCAGCAAGGCAACCCCAAGGCTGCCCCCGAGAGGGAGGCTGCCCTGAGTGACGGTCCCCCAGGGCTGGCAAGCTAAGGGTGGCCTGGGGCCCGGGCCCCCCAGTTCTATGTGGCTTAGGCTCAGGGTTTGGCAGCTGCTCGGCTCCAGGCCAGGAGCAGGGTGTGTGCGGGGGAGGGGAAGATTCCTCATCGGATGCCTCCCCGCCCCGCACCCAGTGGGGCCCAGGCCAGTGCCAAGGAAGGGACCACAGGGTCCCGGGCTCCCAGCGGCCGGCTGGCGCGACGGCAGGGTCTTGGACCGCCCGGGAGGAGCCAGGGAGGACAGGGCCAGGCGCTTGATTCCCGTGGACTGTATGTTATCCCGGAGCCCAGAGGCTGGTCCCCAGCCCCCCGCACAGCAGAGGGAGCAGGCGCCTGCTGGAGAGGCAGGGCGCCCTCTGAGGAGACGGCCCCGGACCCAGAGGCGGCAGCAGCCTGGGGGGGACCTAGGGAACCGAAGGCTGCAGGAGGAGGTGCTGGGCCTCCCTCCCCCGTCCCTCCCTCCGGCTCAGGTCAGGAGGAGGGGGGAGTCAGGAACGGGGGGGCCGCACACACTCACCCCGAACATTTGCCGCAGGTCGGGGTCCCTGAACCGGAAGGGGATGTTGGAGACGTGGAGCCGCTTGGGGTGCTGCTTCTCCGCGGGGTCGGAGGGATGGAGCGGCTGGCTGTCCGTCTGGGCCGCCTCGTCTGTGTGCTGTGGGGAGAGACCGGGGTGAGGGCCCCTCTCAGCTCCTATCCCACAGAGGGCGTGGGGGCCAAGACCAGTCTGGCCCAGCCCCTCGGACCCTCCTCCCGGGCTAGGACCTGCCGGGGGCCGGGATGCTCACAGGACACAGCCCCTCCAGGCCTGTGCCCAGCTGTGCCCGGACACCAGCGCCCGGCCAGGCCTCCTTGGCCCTGGGTCCCCTCCTTGCTCAGCCCAGAGCTGACCGTGGTCCCTCAGCTCCAGGGACCCCTGGGTCTCAGGGTCCTGCGTTTGCCCCATTCCCTGACGGGACCATTCAAGGTGATGACAAAGTGGGCGTTTCCGAACCCGCCGCCGGGCACACACATCGTGGGGGTGCTATGCCCCCCCACAGTCATGGGGGCTGCCTCCCAGCACGCTGGGGACAGGCACAGTGACCCGGGGAGCCGGTCCTCACTTTGGACTCCAACAGTGTTTCTGCAGAGGGGGTCCGGGAGGCCTGGCCTCAGGAAGCAATGCTGCCACCCAGCCCCCCCTCCCCCACCCCCTGTGAAGACGGGGCTGGGATGAGGCCTGAGGCACCACGGTGTCTGGGGGAAGCAGGCGCTACCCGAGGGGGCGAGGCCAGGATGGGCGCCGGCTCCTCGCCAGGTTGGCCTTCAGCCCGGCCCCTCCCTGCAGACGCACCAGTGCCAAAGGCCCAGCAGGTGCTCCATCACTGCTGCTGGTGGTGAGCAGCTCTGACCGAGGTGCCCGGCCAGCTCACCGGGACCAGAACGCCGGGGCCCGAGGCCCGCTGTGTGCCACTCACAGGGACGTGCCCGAACCGCCAATGACCGCTGGAGACTCCCTCTCCTGCCTCTGCCCACGGGCAAGGCAAGTGGGGCGTCACCGTCCAGCAGCCATCCTTAGTGGTGACAGACAGGACGGTGGACAGCGCCATGGGGCTCCTCTGCCCCCACACCCCACCGTGGGGGTGAGCTCAGCACCGAGGGGTAACGAGACGAGAACATAACCTCCACCTCCTCCTTCCCTTTCTTGCCTCTCTGCCCTGCCTCCTGCCCCCCTCCCCCATATTATTTTGGGATGCATCCTTGTCTCGGGATCAGCTTCCCGGACCCCTGCCTCCAGCAAAGCCACCCGGGCCTCCTGCCCTGCCTGGAGGGAGTGAAAGCGGAGGGCAGGCCCCCTGAGCCCACAGGGAATTTGTACAGACGTGGTTGCGGTCTCCCTGGTGGCCTGGAGAGGGGGTGCATTGCTGACGTCCGGCCAGCAGAGGGCAGTGGTTCACTCGGCCAGGAGGCCTGGCTGGAGATGGGAGCCCCGCATGGGGAGGGCGGGGAGGACCACAGGAGGCGGAGGCCACTGGTGTGGACAAGACCCAGGTCCCCCCCGAGCCCCCAGGGAGCAGCAGAGGGCGAGGCGGGAGGAGGGGGCGTGGGGCCGGGACACCGGGAAGGAAGCAGCAGATACGCGGGCTCAGTGAGTGTGAAACTGTAGGATGTGCTGAGGAGCCCGGCGGGTCACGGCACACTGGCTGCCCGCGGGGAGACGCGGCCGGCCCACCATTTATCACCGCGGCCCAGGCAGCCTGCGCACCGCCCACACACAGGCACGGAGCCACACCACACCTCTGCCGCCACCGCCGGTCTCGGTGGCTTGCTCCAGCGCCCTCCTCTGTCAGCTCGCCATCCCCCCTCACCCCTCCAGGCCAGGAGCCATCCCCCCCCCCGCCCCTCCGGGCCAGGAGCCACCCCCCCCACCCCTCCGAACCAGGAGCCATCCCCCCTCCCCCGCCCCTCCGGGCCAGGAGCCAGCCCTGGCGGACCTCAGGAGCGGCCACTCTCCGAGGAGCCTGCAGCCCCTCCACCTGGACTTCCCCAAGGCCAGGAAGAAGGAGGCCAAGAAGGTGGTGGGCAGGGGCTGTGGGCCAGGGGCCTCGGGCAGCAGACTCGGACCCATGCCCGGTGCTGCCATGAGCCAGGCTTGCCGACGTGTGACAAGACGGAGCGGGTCTTGCAAAGCTCCTTTCTCTGCAGCCCTGAGCCCTCCCCCTCCTTCAGATCCTCTGTGCCTGTGTGCTGCCCGCCAGCCGGCTGTCTGATGGGGCTGCCCCCGCGGGGGCCGGGCGGCCTGGAGGAGGTGTGTCCCGAGGGGGGCCTCCAGCCATCCGTTCCGGACACCTTGTTCCGCCTGGGGCGCGGGCAGCCATTCCTGGACAGAGCTGTGTGTCCGTCCCTCGCTGCCTCTGCCAAAAGCACGAAGACGACCAGGGATCCCATGCAGAAGAGGGGTCTGGACAAAAGGGGGCTCGTCGGCCTGCACCGCCCCGATCTGAGCAGGAGGCTCGCTGAGCTGAAGGACCTCGGAGCGGGGCAGGGACCGCTGACCAGGCAGACGCTCAGCCCTCAGGTGGCGGCGGGCAGCCTCCGGGAGAAGGCGACTCCTGGAGTCCGGAGCAGGCGGGTGTACACGGCCCCGGCTCCAGCTCCGAGGCGGCGACGAGGCTCCGGCAGCTCGGGGTCCCCAGTGCTCCTCCGGCCGGGGCCTGGGCACGGCCTGTCCTAGAGCCCAGTTTCTGTAGGACCCGGAGCCCGGGCCGAGCGAGGGCCCGCGGGGCACTCAGCTGGTGCCCGAGCCTCTCCCCTCTCTCGGGGACTTCACCCGGGGACTCCGGGGTCCCCTCCGGGCACGGACTCTCACAGCCACCGAGGCCACGGCTGGCCCCTTCGACTTCCGTGTCCGTGGCCGGTGAGCCCGGTGGCCGTCACCGGCAGGGCCGCGCACTGCTTCTGCCCGGTGCTGCTCGGTGCCAGTCATGGTGCCCACGTACCCGCCGAGGGAAGGCAGACTCCACAGGCCCCGGTCAGGCGTCGGGCTTTGGCGCCAGCTGCGCTCTGTCCTCTCGCCTCCCACGTGTCCACTTTCCAGGCGAATCCGGGCCCCCATAGTCCGTGAGGAGGCGTGAGGCCTGACCAGGCGCCCGTCCTCCAGTCCGTCGGGAGGCCAGCGGCCGGCAGCACGCTCCCGGGAGCGCAGTCCGGGCTGCGGCGTCAGGAGCAGGAGCAGGAGAGCGTGGGGCCTCCCAGGTCGGCGGCCCACGGGCCCGGCTCCTCCCACCGGCAGGATCCCCGCGTCAGTGGGAGACTCCGCACCAGGGACGCAGGGCGCCGAGGTGGCGGCTTCCCGAGGACTCCGCTGGCCAGCACTCCGGGGGGGGACAGCCCTGGCGGGGCCCCAGACGAGGGTCCGGTCCAGTCCAGTCCAGCCGGGCGGCTGGGTGGCTCTCCCCAGAGCTAGAGGGTGCTGTCCACGCAAGAAGGGCAGCTAACAATTGGGTCTACGCAGCACCTGGGGACCAGACTGGATCACGGGGAGGGGGCACCCATCAGGAGCAGGGCAGTGCCACTCCTGGGCAGCTCCTTTGAAGCTGCTGGCCCCTTGCCCGAACTGGGCAGCCAGTGCTGGTGTGGAGCCAGCAGGGAAGTTGGATGGCCCCACAGCCCAGCACAGTGGTGAGGCAGGGCAGGGGGGTGGGGGCTGGAGACCGGTGGGGGGGGGGGTGCAGGGCCAGGATGGCTGGGGTCTCAGGGGGATCTCAGGAGGGGGCCGGGGCAGGCTGAGGTCCTGGTCTCGGGAGGGGGCCGGGGTAGGCTGGGGTCCCGGGGCTGGTCTCGGGAGGGGGGCCGGGGCACAGCCACCTCTCCCCACAAGCTCACATTGAAGTGCATGCTCAGCCTGCATGACAACCACATAATGAAGCTATCTGATTGGAGGGCAGCCAAGCAGGTAGATTACAAATGATTAGAAGCGAGAGGAGCGCCCGCCACCAACAGCTCCGAGGCCCTGGGCTCTCCCGCCGCCCGCCCCCCACTCACCCCACACCGGCGAGCCCAGGCTGCCCGCCTCCACGTGTCTCCACTGCCCACTGAGTCCCTGGCAGCCAGCGGGGAGGCGAGGGCTGGGCCTGGCTGGGCAGGGGCCACCGAGAGAGGCTCCATGAGGACCAAGAGCTGCGAGGCTGGGACCCCCACGAAGTCCCTCCCTCCACCCAGGGGCTGGCCTCGCGCCCTGAAGCTCGGTCTCGGGGTCCTTACCGGCACTGTGGGGGCGCCCGCCATGGGCTGCGTGCTGGCCTCGGTGCCCGGCTGCTCGGGGTGGGTCTGTGCTGGTGTGAACAGGGTCAGGCCGTGCTCCGGGGGCACCGGGGTCTGGCCCGGGTAGTCCGGGGTGGGGTGCGGCGGGGGCGGGGCGAACTCGGCGGGGACGCCGTTCTGTGGCCGAGGCGGGTACTGGGCGGGGGGGTAGGGCTGGGCCATCGCTTCAGGCGGAGCCGTGGCGTCCTGGCTGCCCTGTGGAGGAGAGAGAGGCTGGTTAGACTCTGGGGGCCCGGGCACTGCCCTCCCTGAAATCGGGGTGCTGTGGGAACCAGCGATGTGGGCACACACGCAGCCTCCGAGGAGGGACTGGGGCCCCTTATGGTGTGTGTGGGGGGGGAGGCAGGCTGGGAGCACCAGGCCCGAGAAAGCCCTTGGCCTGACCCGGGTCACTGGAGCCTGCCTCCACAGCCCCCCCACCTCACGCCCCCCGCCCAGCCCGGCCGGCCCCTCCTCTGGCCCCGGCCCGGCGGGCACCGTGGAGGCGGCGGCGGAGGCGGGCGGCGGCCGAGGCGGCGGCCTTGCTTCCCGTTTGGCGCCGACTGGCTCATGGCGGGCGAGCGTGGATCCAATCTCGGGCTGATTAAATGTCCCTCATTAACGAGCTTCTTTAATTAATGAAGTTTGGGTCCGCTCCACTGCTTCGCCCGCCGCTCTGCCTCCTCAGCAAAGCCGTTTCCGCGGTAATGGAGGCAGCGCCTTCCTGCCGACGCTGCACTTTGCTGATTGTGCCCGTCAGCGCGGGGCTGACAGCTCCATTTTTAAACGCTGCTTCCCCACAGCCACGGCACGTGTGGGCTGGCACACGCAGACGGCCAGGCCCCGGGCCCCCGCCGCCACGGCAGCACATGCACACAGATGCTCATGCGTGGGCATGCTCACATGGTCCCAGGTCATCTCAGTGCACACGGCCAGCACACACAGGCACACGCTCCTGCACGGGACCCTTGTGTGCACACAACACGCCTGCACATGGGCCCTCACACTGTGCATGCACACCCACACGCCACACCTCGCCGTATCAGCTACCATGTGCACCCACACACACCTCGCCCACATGCGCACACAGGGCATGTGCTCTCAGTCCCGCCCTGGTGGGCGCTCATACCCATGTCCACACTCACGCCTCCCACACGCAGTGCACACGCACCCAAACCCCACCAAGAGCCAGCCCTGCAGGAAGCGTGCACACGACCCCCCCGGCAGGCAGGCCCTCTGCCACCGCCCGCCCTCCCGTGGTCCGTGACCCTGCTCGGCTGCCCTCGGCGCCCGCCCTGCTGTGCCAGGTGCCAGCTCGGGCCCTGGGCCTGGAGGTGGTGCCCTCCCTCTCGCCGGCTCCCGAAAAGCTCCCGAGTTAAAGACGCTCATCTCCTGCTGACGAGGCGGACAGTGCACAGGAGACCGGGTGGTCAGCGGTCACTGCGCCTCAGACGGAGGGGCCAGCTGCCTGTGGGTGGGGACAGGAGCGGACAATCTTTAGGACCAGGACTCGGCCCCAAGGCAGAGATGGGGCTTTTGGGACCAGGCGAGGCTTCGGTCGGGCAGGACTGCTCTCGGCGGGGATGACACCCGGCGGGGGGTGGGGGGGGCGGGCACGTTGGCTGTACAGCTCTGTCCCCAGTGCCCAAGGGGCCAGGCGCACCTATCACACGCAGGCGCTGTCACCTCCCCACGGCCCTGGAGTGCAGCGGAGCGCCCACAGCTCAGAGGCCCGGCCACCGCCACCCAGCTGTGCTCCCGGGCCAGCACTTGCGAGGCGCATGGACTCCGGTCTTCTGGAACGTTCTATAAAAAGGCCCCCACCTTCCTGCTGCCAGCGCTTGGGCCGCCCGACTCCTCCCCAGGCAGCCCCCGGCGGCCGAGAGGGGTCCTGCTGGCCACCAGGGCCGCCTGCGCGTCAGTCAGCGTTCATTGGCCCGGCTCCCCGTCCAGGTCCTCTCGGCCAGCGCTTGGCTTTTGTCTTTTTAAAAATATGTTTTTATAGATCTCAGAGAAGAAGGGAGAGGGAGAGAGACAGAAGGATGCGTGATGAGAATCATTGACTGCTGCCTTCTGCACGCCCCCCACTGGGGATGGAGCCCGTAACCGGGCATGCGTGCAGACCGGAATCAAACCGGGACCCTTCGGCCCACAGGCTGGCACGCTTTCTACTGAGCCGACCGGCTCTGTAGATTTCATTGCACTAAGACCAGTGGTCAGCAAATGGCGGCTCGCGAGCCCCATGCGGCTCTTTGGCCCCTTGAGTGTGGCTCTTCCACAAAACACCCCGGCCTGGGCCAGTCTATTTTGAAGAAGTGGCGTTAGAAGAAGTTTAAGTTTAAAAAAAATGTGGCTCTCCGAAGAAATGTCAATCGTTGTCCTGTTGATATTTGGCTCCGTTGACGAATGAGTTTGCTGACCACTGAGCTAGTGGCCAATTCGCTCACTCTGATCCTGAAACTGCAGTTACATGAGCAGCCACGCTGGGCTTCTCTCCTCACAGACCCCGAGGCGGAGCCTGGGGCCCGAGGTCACACAGCAAACCAGCAGGTGTGTGGGGGGAGGGGGGACGGGGACAGAGGACGAGGCTGCACGTTCTGAGGTCCAAGCACAGGAGGGCACAGCCATGCGCCGGGGCCATGACGGCCTGCGCTCCAGCCCTGGGAAGCTGAGGGTCCCCGGGAGACCCCTCGCCTGCCGGGCCGCTTGTCTCCTGGCTGGGAGGCAGGTATGGGGACAGGGCCACCTGGGCGGCCAAGCCAGACCAAGGTGCCACCCGGGTCAGCAGCGGCCAGGCCATGTCATGCCTGTGAGCGCTCCTGCCGGGAGCCAGCGTGCGTGCGTGCGTGCGTGTGTGTATGCATGCATGTGTGTGCGTGTGCGTGTGAAGATGCCACTGCCAGGCGCCGGGGCCTTTGGAGAGCCCCCTGCTGCCCACCTGCCTCCGAGGAAGACACACACAGCGGCGAGAGGCACGGGCCTGGTGGGCTCAGCCCGACGGCTCCGAGTCTGGGGGAGTGGGAGAGGGAGGGACACGGCGCTGCTTACAATGTGGTAGGAACACTGCTGGGACCAGGGGAATTAAACATCGCAGCTTTTAACGCAGTAAATGAGCACCCGGCCCCCTGCACCTCATCTGTAATCACTCCCAAACCCCGGGAAGGACGGGCCCTCCCGCCCCCAGGCTGGGCCGGCAGTGACCCTGTCCAGAAGGTGGAGCGGGGAGGAGGGGAGACCCTGAATGTGGCTCATTACGATTGAGACTCAACTGAGAAATCAAATTAAAAAAACTTTTTTTTACAATATTATCTGTGTACATATACCATTGCCCCCCCCACATGCCCTCCCTCCCCAGAGTTTTGTGTCTATTGGTTGTACTTATATGGAGAAATCAATTTTTAATTGAGGTATTCTCCGAGCAGGCCTGCTGCCCACGGCCAGCGCGAACAGCATTTCCACCCCAAGTTGCCCCTTCCCTGGGGACACCCCTCCCTGGCCTGCTGACCCCAGCAGGTGGGAGGGGCGTGCAGGTGGGAGGACCAGCTGGTGGAGAGCCTGCCTTCCCCACACACTGGTGGCAGGGCTCCTGGCGGTACTGGGAAGACTGGCCACTTCTGGATTCGGCCTGGGTGCTGCATGGGGTCGGCCTGCTGGGAGGGGGGCAGATCCTCATGGGCTGGGCTGGGCTGGCTCTGGGCCCTCATCACGAGGCCAGGACAGGGGCAAAAGGGTCCCAGGGAGCGCTGTGCCGCCCTGAAGCCTACAGGGGTCCCCTCAAACCCCCCCGAATCTGCAAGAGGCTCCAGGTGCGGCTCAGCTTGTCCTGAGCTCTGACAAGTGTCTTAGATCCGGCCTCCCTCTCGTGCTAATGGCAGTAACACGGAGCATGGCTGGAGGGGAGACAATGACTCCGAGAAGGAACGTACTGATCCCGTCATTTCTCCAGGAAGCACTGGCCTGTGAGCATTTCATTACCGAACGCCGCGCCGCCCACACAGCAGCCGCGGCAGCACGGGAGCCACCAGGACCAGCCCCCGCAGTGGGTGCCCCTCCGGGCTGTGTCCCCTGGGCACGTCCTCAGCACCCAGTGACCGGCCCAAGGCCTGGGTGCATCCTGGGCATGACCTCATGCACCCCTGGCCCTGAGCACTTCCTGAGCGTCCAGCCCCAGGTCTGGGGTCCCGCCTGCAGCCAAGGTCACTCCCCAGCCTCCCTCGGTCCTTTTCTGCTCTTGGGGGGTCTGATCTAGATGTTTCCAGAAGCTCCTGCTGCCCTGCTCTGTGACCTCAGGGGGCGGGGGAGCAGTGCTTGGCCACGTGACTGCTGTGCCGCACCCCGATGCTGGCTGGGCCTCCGCTTCCAAGCCCCCAAACGAGGCTACAAACTGGGGCTCCCGCAGGTGAATGGAGGCTGAGGGTGAACGGAGACAGGAACCCGTCCCGGTGCCGAGGGGACGAGGAGCGGCCGCTGGCAGCGGTGTGACCGGGAGACGCTGCCCAGGCCCTCGGACAGGGTCTGAGGACGGAGGGGGGCGGCCCTCACGGCAGCCCCTGCACCTCCAGGGCCTCCGAGGCGCAGGCGGAGGCAGAGGCGGAGGCTGGACTCCCCAGAGGACGGGAAAGGCTGGGACCCTGAGCCACTGAGTTTGCGGGACTGGCGGGGGAGGGGACAGGCCGCCTTTGTGCAGGAACTGCAAGGGGCTGAAACTCATGCAAGAAACACTAACAAGACCCCCGCCCAACACACCCCCTCCCTCCCTCCCCACGCTGCTCCGGGCTGTGGGAGGGGGAGGGCCCAAGCACCTGGCCTGCTGGGGACGGGGCACCTTTAAGCTTGAGACACCAGCAGACCCTCCGGGTCTGAGCTCCTGCAGCTGCAGCTGTGGGGAGGCGAGGGCAAGGCTGTTCCTCCGTCTCCATGGGGGGGGGGGGGTTGTTTCCAAACCAGACTGCAGAGGCCTCCGCCTGCAGCACCGGGCAGGGGGAGGCAGGGCCTCCCCGGTTCAGGCCTGGCTGCAGAGGAGCTGGTGCAGGCAGCAGGGAGGAGGGGTGCAGGGGGGCGGGGGGCGGGCGGCGGAGCGCAGAGGCGGGCGGGCCCTGCAGTCCCGGGACGAGCTGCCTGCTGGAGGAGCTGGAGCAGCGAGGCGTGTGAGCGGGCGGGAGGCATGACCTGGGGGCGTCGGT